TTTATTTACTTATCTGCGCAATAGATAACCTGTATAGGACATGCATCTCATTAACTAGAGATCCTGCTTTAGGTTCTTTACTTTCAGCCTGTTATCATGTTCATCTTGCAACCATGATCAGTTAATAACGAGCAATAATTGTAATAAGCGAATAATTGTTACTGCATTCTCATTGGCATCTAGAAATCATGTTTTAGGAACTCCTATGTGCATTAGACATCCTGTTACTTAAGGTGTCATACCTGCCTGAGTTGCAATTGTCAAATGTCTGATTAGCATGCTTAACTTAATAATACAAGTACGGTTAACCGTTTGCGTACCTCTTTTTAAAACTAAAAAAAAAGAGGGATCAAATATGCATGTTCACTCTTTAAGATGATTAGGCAATGCGTAGGACGCCTAGGCAAACTTTAGGCCTGATAAGAATCGATTAATCATGTTGTTACTAGTAACCAGCTTTTTTTTTTAATCTCGAACTATGCCGCTCACATTCCTGCTTTGACTCTTTTTTTTTTTTAAAAATCCTGCTCTATCTGGAAACGATTTTGAAACGGCGCATCTATTTACTCTCGCTAAGTTTCTGATTTCTTATGTTTTCAAATTACTGGGTTACCTTCCTCTGCCCAGAATCGTGCTATTTTACTTGTCCTGCACCTCGTTAAACTACTGTCACTACTTCATTTTTTTTTAAACCATGCGTTAACGGTTATTTTCACTAACTCAACTGCTGTTACCTATTCCTTTTGTAAAAAAAAAAAACTCCTATCTTTGAGACATTGAATGTGTTTGAGATGTGCTAATTATCTGTTCACTTGTGGAGGGATCTGTGAGCCTTTATTTGTTTTTGTATGTTCCCTTATGTGCAGTCCTATTTGTTATGTATGTCGCTTAGTATTTTAGCCTTTAAACCTAAGGGTTCAGCCTAGTCCTTACCACATAGGAATAGTGGTCCTAAATGCCCTTCAGGACTTATAGGACGGGACATGTAATAGCACGCAATAAGTATTCGTGATCAACTCACGCGTTTAATAACCTTTACGGGGTGGGAAGGGTAGAATATGGAGATGATGATCACGTGATAACACCACGCGTATAATTGGTTATCGGGCGTTGCGGGGATGATCCATATTAATCATAAACCTAGGACCCCTCTCCCTCTGTTTGCTTTCATCTCTTCTTGTAAAACTATTCAATTTTTTTTCCCATAAATTCCTGCTCTCCCTGCTTACTTTCAAAAGTTTTTCAACTTATTTGCAATGTGGTATATTCGAACCCGTAATTGTTTACTTGATTATGTGAAGTCACAATAAAATATGGCCGGGAACCACATTAGTGGATCTTGAGGGATGCCTAACACCTTCCCCTCGAGATAATTTCTAGCCCTTACCCAAACTCTGGTTCTTCAAACTCAAACCCCTTCTTAGTGTCCTAATGAACTTTAATCATTAGGTGGCGACTCTTCTAAATCTCAAACCCAAATTCCCAAAAGGAATAGAGTTGTCCGCCCAAATGTCGTAAACCCAATTTCGCGAGAAAAAGGGGGCGTTGACAGTAGTTAATAGGTGTGTGGAGACTTATTTGAGATGTGTTTGCTCAGACTCTCAAAAGGATTGGATGCACTACCTAGGAGCAGCTGAGTGTGGCTGCTCCTCCCTTAACCAGAGGTTTCGAGTTCGAGTCCTGGGTATGAAAAAATTCTTTGTAGGGAGCGCTTTCCCCGAATGGGGCCCTACGCGACCGGAATCCGGATATAGTCGGGCTCAAATGCGGGTACTCTTTGAATCGCCCATTGACTCATAATAGGGTGTCCGCTCGAGAGATATTGCCATATACACGCCGTCTTGGGGAAGATTTTTTTGTTTTGTTGAATTAGTGTTTTAGGGTTGAAGAAAAAGAATAGAATATATAAAATAGTATAAAAAAGGAAAAATTAGGGGGAAAAACATAATTGCGTATCATAGCAGAATTATCTAATTAATATACCATAGCAGATTTCCATAAGAGAAATTTACCTAACGAGATTCACTCAATTATGAGAGAACTAGGCGGTGATAGCACGGGCCCAATAGCGTAGACTATAACTTCTATTTTTTTTTATCAACTTTGTTTTGATATGAATTGCAGATGATAAAAAATTGATACATGTAAGTGGCTAACAAATTGAATAAAGACGATATTGTACTGATGGATATTATTTACATACATAAAGCACCAAATGTCCATTGTTGGATGTTGCTGGCTATTATTTACATACATAAGAGATAGAATGTTCATTGTTGGATGTAGCGTGGATGGGGAGCGGCACATTCTTTTCGGACCCGTTTGGTCCTAAATTTTGCTAAAATAAATTTGGATTTTATTTGGAAAATATATGTTTGGCTATAGATTTTGCCTACATTTTGGCAAAATCCCAAATCCCAAAAGCAGCTCAATGGCTTGTTTTGAGCCAAAATATCACTATTATATTTTTTAAAAATTAACCCAAACTTTTGTATCTTATAAAAGAGCCCACCATTTATTATTTTGTAACAATGTTGATTCGTCTTCTCGGTCATCTGATAGTGTATCATGTAGTTCATTATAAAAATGACAATTTTGTACCAAAATTATTTATGTTCAGGACTATAGTTTGCGATAATATAATGAATGTTATTAATAATGATACTGTTGGGTATTTATGATAGTTTTTAGAACTTGTGGGTATAAGTCATGTTTCATGTTTTTCCAAAATAAATTTGGGAAATATGTTTGGAAAACTAATGTCCAAACGCATTTTCATCTTCAAACCAAACTTCACCCAAATCAGATTTTTCAAAACAAACTTGGGAATCTATGTCCAAACGACTAGCTTCATATCTGCGTACAACCTGTTCACATCTATAAATTTGCATATTTGTAAAATGTAGTGCAACCGCCATGTTGTGGTTAGGCTCTTTTCTTGCCTGCCTTTGACAAAAATATTGATATCTGTAGGGATTATTTGTTAATCTAGTCTAGCCAATCTCATTCTTTCTTAATGAAAATAGTAGAGAAAAGGGATAGAAGGTAGACAACACAATTAATTAACATACTGATTTGTCATATATCCATGTTCGTGCTTTTATGTAACTTGCAAAAAGTTATAGGCTCAAACAGTGGCAAAGCCAAAAATATTTTCAAGTAAAAGAAGTAAAAAAAATTCAGGGATGTGGAGATTGATAAAGATGTCACACATCATATTGGGGCGGTATGGATGAAATAGAGACTCGCTTCCGATATTTTGTGTGAAAAGAAGGTGCCACTGAAACTTAAGGGTAAGTTCTACAGAGTCGTGGATGGGGCTGAGTGTTAGCCAATCAAGATTGCTTATGTCCAGAAGATGAAAGTAGCAGAGATGATGATGTTGAGATGGATGTGCGGGCACACCATGTTAGATAGGATCAGAAATGAGGTTATTCGCAACAAGGTGGGTGTGGCCCTTATTGAGGACAAGATGCGGGAAGTGCGGCTTAGGTGGTTTGGTCATGTGAGGAGGAGGAGCACAGATGCCTCGGTGATGAGGCGTGAGAGGTTGACATTGGAGAGCCTACGGAGAGGTAGAGGTGGGCCAAAGAAGAGGTGATTAGGCATGAAACGGCGGCAGCTTCAGCTGGCCGAGGACATGACCACTGATAGGATGGTATGGAGGTCGAGGATTAGGGTAGTAGAGTAGGTAGTCTAGAGAGTTTATAACAGTAGTATTGGAACGCAATCTCGCTTTCTGTTGGTCTTCCTTTTCCTCCTTCGTAATTCTAGGTCTCTTATCATCTCCATTGCTGTTATCCACTCTTCTCTGTCTTTCCTCTTAAGCGCATTCTCTCTCTTATCAGATTCCTCTCAGTTAACTTCCGATTCATATGACCTCTCACCTTTTTCTCGATCGTTTTTACTCCTATGCGAATGCCATTTCTCCTCTAAATCCTCACTCTCGTAAGATTTTTCTCTGTTGACTTCCAACTCATACGATTTCTCGCCTATTTCTCGTTCCTTTTTCCTCCAATGCCAATGCCTTTTCTCCACTGAGTCCTCTCTCTCATAAGATTTTTCTCCGCTAACTTCCGATTCATGTGATTTCTCGCGACGCCTTCCGATGTTTGTGCTCTCTCCTACTCGATTTTTCTCTTTCCATTTCAATGTTGTAAGGTTTCTGAAACTTGAGATCTCTCGCACTCAAATAGATTAGTCGATGTTGAAAAAAATAAAGAAGAATAGGCTCCTTTTATAGTAGTTCTACAAATCCTATTATTACGGGGATGGTGAGTGAAAGAGGTCAACGAAGTAATGAGAGGAGATGAGAGAAAACCAGCCTGCACACTAACTAGCATCGAATTATATTGTTTCTTAGCGGCACGGAAGTCTAACAAGTATTTCATTAAGTAATTCTATATCAGGTCTAACATGACATATGTTTAAATCAAATTAAAGGGCAACCTGGATTATTTGTGTACTGTTCAAGCATAATATCTATAAAGTTATAAAGGAACACGGTCGCTACATGCGAGCTTTAACACGAGATTATTGCAGACAACATTAGGCGTCATGAAAGATACTAGATTATGCAAGTACATTGTATAACATGTTTTTACAGTATAAAAGTTATAGGAATGACAATACTGAACAGTGGGTCTAACAGAGTAGTTAAAATCAAAAGTATGAGCACAAAACATGAAAGAAAGGTCTTCAACTACGAAGCTAAACAAGAAATAAAACGATTCGAATTCAGCATGCTTTGAGTTCAACATTATAGCATAGGCCTAAAACATCCTGAATGAACTAAATCTGGACACAAGAAGAAAAGAACAATGATCAGCAATTCAACCTCAAATGACCAAGACTCAACCAGCCAACAAAAGCCTATTTAAGTGGAGAAGGTTAAAGGAACAGGCCCATTATTTATCCAGTTTCTAGCGATACAGCACCACTGACCCTTGAGATTTCACGCTTACAGAAAACATCTCACTCTTTGATATGAAGTTTTAAGATTAAAGGGGTTGTCTTAGTACTGGTGTTGGCCACCAGTTTTGGGTAAGTGGTAACACATTTGAACCATAATATGTTGTTAGTTCTCGCGTCGATCCTTGCAGCTTGATCAATAGAGAAGGCCAGCTAGAGTTTTCCACTTTCTCTGTCTGAATATTGTATGCAACAACAGAGTAACCAACAAGAAAATATACAAGATTCTCATTATATGGGTCGAAAGCTAGCACACAAATTTCAGGATTCATGTCTGTGGAATCATAACGGAGTGTGAGGGGGCATCTTAATGCTGGGTTAGTTAGGATTTTCTTGTACACCAAACACCACTTCCCCGTTCTGTAATCCTCAAGCTCCCATATACTTATAGAAGGATATCTACTTGGAGAAGCTTGTAGGAAAACTATCTGAGAAAATCGTAGACGACCTTGACATACACCCAATTTACATACACCGCCAATATGTCGAGCCTCAAGTGGTAAATCAATAATACGAAGAAATGGGGCAGGATCATTGAATGGATCAAATGCGAGAATACAGTCAACTATAATGCTAGTCTCATGAACCGTTGTAAATAACATCTTTTCACAGGCAATAAGTGAAATCTTATGAGTACTACACCAACAATTCAAAATCCGGGGAGATGTAACAACCAATTTGGTCCATTTCCCTTGCTCAGACGAAAACTTTTCTATAAGAAACTCAGAATAACCACAAGGAATAAATCGTAACACCAGATACATGTACTGGTGATTATCCTTAGAATTAGGCTCAATCAAGAAACCAACGTTTTCACCAAAATGTCCTCTTCCTGAAGGGGCTGGAGGAAGAGCAATCCATTGCCTAGTCACAATATTACAGATATAATAATTCATAGTAGATGATGACTTCATGTAATTATTCATCACAGAGCATAAAATTAAGTCACCACAGGATGCTTCTAAACAAATTTCACTTTTATTCCAACCTGCTGAGAGAAATCTCAAATCCACATGTTTTGATAAACCCTGTACGGAGTGAAACTCCACGTATTGTGCATGTTGTTCATTATGGAAAACTAGGGTAAAGGGTGGATTTTTGTTATGGCGATGATTAATGAAAGAGGTGACGAAGTAATGAGAGGAGATTAGAGAAAACCAGCGTTTGCATACCAATTTGCATCGAATTGCTTCTTTACTGTATGGTAGTCTAATGAGTATTTCGTTAAGGAGTTCTTCTGTCAGATAATCGAAAAACGATTGTGTCTTTCTCATGTTCCGAACATGGCGAGGAACCTTCAACTTGTGGCTGCGCGACTGTGTACTCTTTGAATCTCCCATTGGCACTGAAGAGTTTTTGCCCTATCTCCGTCACTATAAAAGATTTGTATGGGTTTAATTAAGTCTAATTTCATGGATGATCCTTAACTTTTATTTTATTGCATTAAGGTCATTATATATAAATTTGATTAACGATTTTTATCTTTGTAAATAAAAAGTACATCTATATCTATCTATCTATATCTATATTATTATAAAAGCACGAATAATTTAGTTTAACTGTTCAACGACTAAAATATCCCCTAAATATTGATCGACTTTTATGACCTTAAATATTTGTATAAATTAAGGATATAATTGTAAATCATTTAAGTATGGATTACATCATTTATTCAAACTCTATTTTTGGTTTAAAAAGCTATACTACAAAAAGAAAAAGGAAAAAATCTAAACTTATAGAAATTATTACACATCCAAAGTGCTATATACGATAGAGTTCTACATATTATAATTTTTTCTCTTTTGTCATACAGAATTTTTTTCTTGAAGTCTAATATAGAATCATTCACGGCAATAAATATAATAAACATAGAATAATTTTATAAAAAAACATGTACCCTAAATTTTATTTTTCACATAACATCAAATCCTACTGATAGTGTTAGATGTTAATAACTTATCCTTATTCTAAATCTAACCTAAACATTCTTGAACAAATCACAAATAAACTTTACATGGATTAGATAAACAAACCTAAGATAATTCAAGGTAATAAATATAATAGATATAGATCAATATATGTATTTTAAGAAAAAACTATACCCTATGACATCTTATTATTTTTCAAAAAAATTCCTATAGATTTAATTTGGACTCCAAAGAGTCTTTTAGGTTAATGAGGAAAAGGTGGGGTTACGAGAAATTATTGGAACATTAGGGATTTAGCAATACTAAGGCAAAGAGTAAGATGTAAGGAGATGCTCTGGGGAAACGATCGAGCTACTACAATTCCAGGGTAATGAAAAACAATTACTGTAATAGTTTCTGTACAAATAAATCTCAGTACGCTTGTGTTTAAACAATAAATATTAAAGCACAGGGGCTAACAATCCCAAAATATGGGGTTGTATTTGTCATTATATGTTTTCTCACACGAATAACTATATATTTGACTTCCAGGAGAGATATTAATGTCGTAAATAGATCAAGATGGAGTAACCAAAGAATCAAAAGGAAAATACACCCAAAATATTATCTATAAAGAAAGTATTAGATAAGAAACGATCTCACTACATATTTCTATGATATAAATGGATATATTATCTAATTAACTTAACTAAATTACTTATATTTGCATTTCGACTTCAAGTATTATAACAATTTTTGCTTCTTCGTTTTTTCACTTCAATTGCTATATCAAAGATTCATATAAAAAATTGATTAAATATTTACGTGCAAAGCACGTACATAGAGATTAGTTATATTAAAAACACGAAGGCCCTTAGCGAAATGTCGTTCGTCTTTTTTACCCCTTTAAACTAGAGTTCGCACTGGACAAAATAGTCATTTAATTATCTTCCTATATATAGTATTAATCATTCAATTTACTTTCCTAATATTTAGAAATACTCATTTAATTACTTTTCTATTTAGGACCTTGATTTATAAAAGTGAAAAACATTTCTAAAATTTCTACCATAAATAAATGAGAAAAGTACGTTTTAGAGAAGGAACTAAATGTCTTCAATTCCTAAAATCTTAAGTTAATTAAAAGATATATATTTCAAGAAGGAATTAAATTATTTTAAATTCTAATTTTTCCTATACATAAATAAAAAAGGACAATACATCAAAAGGAAACTCCTCTACTTTTGTTATGGGTAATTTTCGGCATCTTTGTCAAACAAAAACGTAGAATCCTTTTTTCCTTTTTTTTTTTTTAACTTTTCTACTTACATGATTTTGAAATGTTATATTCTACTTTGATCTATATATATATAATTATGTAATACATAAATATAATTATTTAGAAAGAGATTAGGTGGAATGAGTTCTTTTAGAGTGTTCCTACTTTCTCATGTAATGCATAAGTTAGAGTTAAATGAAAATTTTCGAGATGAGAAGAAACATAAGACTCAAAAAAGGGATTAAAATAGGAGTGTTTGGCTGACGGCCTACGAAGATTAGTTTACCTAGATTCTAGAAGTGTATGGGGTACATGCAGAATAATCTTTTTGTATATATTTTTATTGATTAACACGATAGACACGTGAAACGCACGTACACTAAAAACTAGTTTATATAAAAGTACCACTCATTTTGTCCAACTTATGTGTTATACTTTTCATTTTAATTTGACTCGAAAAGAATGTTATACTTTAAGATATAATTTAACTCTAAACTTCTCATTTTACCTTTAATGAGATGATCTATAGTCATACAATTTTTATATCTTGTTTTAGACCATATAAGTTCTATTTATTAACTAAAATTTTCTATATGAGAAATTTAATTAATATATACAATTTTTACGTTATCGCTTGGAATTCTTTTTTTTTTTTAGTATGTGATTTATTATGATTTAAGTTATGTGTATATTTACGACTTTTCTCATAGTAATTCTAGTTATATGTCTTATATTTTTTATATTTTCTCGGAAATTTGTATTTTATTCCTTTTTTATTCCTGTAATGATCCGACTAGTCTTTTCTAGTCTTAGCACTCCGTTCGATGATTTGAGTATGGCACATTATGACTTGTGTGTATGGTTGGTTTTGATGTTTGAGAGGTTCGGGATTGATTTGGAAGCTTTAAGTTGGAAGAGTTAACCAAGGTTTGACTTTTGAGTAAACAATTTGGAATCGTGATTTGATGTTTCAATATGCTCGTATGATGATTTCGGACTTGTGCGTATGTTCGGATTTGGAGGTTTCTAGAAGATTTTGGCTCTATTTCTCGTTAGTATTATTAAATTGTCATATGAATTTTTTGTAACTTACCAGTGTAATAAAATACAATTATATAATTTTATGTTACTCTTGAAATTTAACTTGATTTTATCTTGTATGACTATTTCTTAAACTTATTTCGTTATTTAAATTTTCAAGAATATCTTTGAGGATTATCTATTTACTTAATTTTACCAAATAAATTTTGAAGTGTAATAGAATCACATTATCTCTATTCTCCTCTTTGCTCAACTTTTTTTTTTTTTTTTTTTTAGCTTTTTTCCATTTAATGTTAATCTAAAATACAAATATTATTATATTATTTTTCCAAATGAGTGGTGTGAATTAGTTCAAAGTCTAAACAGAAGAAGTTCTTTTATTATATGTCACAATCCTGCTAATAATTTGTATATGGTGAAAATCAGAGGGCTCGATTTTGTGATCACTAGGGCGCCTCGAGAAAGACCACCCTCGGGAGGCTCGAAGTCTAGCTCGGAGTTTGACCCCGAGGGTTCGTGATGATCGACCACGAGGCAGTACAAACCAACGACTGCGACGCGCCAGCGGGAGGTTCCCAAGGCACATGATCAAGACTGACAAAACCTGCAAGGGAAACACTAGTCTGTACCAGACTAGTATTTAGTTGTTCCAGCTATGTCTCTTTGTAATAATTATCCATGTACTATGATGGGATTTTCCCTCCTTATATAAAGGGGATCCTTGTCATTTTGTAAGAACACACAAGATACTTCATTAAATACAAGAACATTCTTTCTGCTCTCTAACTTAAACATACTCTCTATTTGGCTCTCTTGCTTACATTTATTGCTCTATTTACATTTATTGTATATCATTGATCGTTCTTCATTTATTGCTTACTATTGGTCATAAAGAGCTGCAATCACAACCCTAGTAGTCATTAATCCTCCATCGACCACCCTTAGCCGGGCATCTAACTTGGCATCGAGGCCCCACACGCGCTAGCTCGAGGCCCAGATTCTCAACTGTCTGGTACCGTTTGGTTTGGTTTCTAAAGCCATCTTCGATCTCTTATCTTATTTTCGAACCTCGTCACTTAGCATCTACTGCTTAACAACTAGCATAAAAATAGATCACATATTTTTAGAACCACAAAATCAAATCTAATTGTTATTACCATTTTCAAGGTAAACAGTTTGGCGCCCACCGTGGGGCTAAAAATAATAGTGATTGTTTTCTTGCTGGTTTTCTACATAACGCAAGTTATCTTTCACACTTTTTCTTGCCCAAGATCTTTGATTTCAGGTCAAAATATCCAACTCAGAAAACGCACGTGAAAACAACAATCTTGAGGACCATGGAGAAAATGGTGTAGCTGTTCCAGGTGTTGGTGTACCACCACGAAACCCTGGGGACACGCAAGAACCAATTCCCATGGATGCGGTCTCGCGCGACGCTCAACACGTCGAAATAAGTTCCCACACCAACAGGAGCATATACCAAGGAGTTCAACAAGAAGCTCAAAAAACTCCGGCTAGGGAAGAACAGGAAGTTAGCCTTCACGTTATTTTTGAAATGTTACAGGCGCAACAGCTTGCGATTGCTCAGCTGCAAAGTCACCAAAAAACTCCCAGCACGGTAGCACCGGAAACGGCTCCCCAAGCAGAGCAGGTACCGGAAAGATCAAGAAACAACGGGACGGCAGCCGACCCCGCCATTATAAAAATGCTCGAGGACCTCACAAAGAGGGTTGAATCGGGCGAGAAGAAGATAGAAGCCAATGACAAGAAGGTGGAAACCTACAATTCCAGGGTCGATCAAATCCTGGGCACACCCTTGATCCTGGAAGGTGTCGACTCCAAGAAGTTTGTGCCAAAGCCGTTCCCACAGGAAGCGGCTCCAAAACCTATTCCAAAGAAGTTCAGAATGCCCGACCTTCCGAAGTACAATGGAACCTCGAAACCCAAGGAGCACGTCACTACTTACACTTGTGCAGTAAAAGGCAACGACCTGAAGGACGACGAGATCGAATCCGTCCTACTGAAGAAATTTGGAAAGACGCTCTCAAAGGGAGCGATGATGTGGTACCACAACTTAGCCCCACACTCGATATATTCGTTTTCCATGCTGGAA